TTTCTAAAACCCTCCACCGTTGCATAGCGGCCTTCATCGGCTGCGGCATTCAGCAATTGGTCTTTCTCCGGGCAACGGTTCCCCCGGGGACCGGTGTTCGGTGGCTTCACATGATATAGAGTCGGCCCTACTTCATCAAAGGCTACCTATTTGATCCTGCGTAACCACATACAGTTGCAAGAAAAAGTATGTGAACCCTTTGGAATTACCTGGATTTCTGCATAAGTTGGTCATATGGTCACATGGTAATTTGCAAAAGAGCACCTAGATGTTCCACAGCACTACTGGCAAAATATTCCGTGAACAGATGAAACCAAAGTTGAGTTGTTTGGAAGGAACACACAACGCTATGTGTGGAGAAAAAAAGGCACAGCACACCAACATCAAAACCTCATCCCAACTGTGAAGTATGGTGGAGGGAGCATCATGGTTTGGGGCTGCTTTGCTGCCTCAGGGCCTGGACAGATTGCCATCATCAACGGGAAAATGAATTCTCAAGTTTATCAAGACATTTTGCTGGAGAACTTAAGGCCATCTTTCCACCAATTGAAGCTCAACAGAAGATGGGTGATGCAACAGGACAACGACCCAAAGCACAGAAGTAAATCAACAACAGAATGGCTTCAACAGAAGAAAATACGCCTTCTGGAATGGCCCAGTCAGAGTCCTGACCTCAACCCAATTGAGATGCTGTGGCATGACCTCAAGAGAGCGATTCACACCAGACATCCCAAGAATAATGCTGAACTGAAACAGTTTTATAAAGAGGAATGGTCCAAAATTCCTCCTAACCGTTGTGCAGGTCTGATATGCAACTATAGGAAACGTTTGGTTGAGGTTATTGCTGCCAAAGGAGGGTCAACCAGTTATTAAATCCAAGGGTTCATATACTTTTTCCACCTTGCACTGTGAATGTTTACATGGTGTGTTCAATAAAAACATATAATTGTTTGTGTGGTTTTAGCTTAAGCAGACTGTGTTTGTCTATTGTTGTGACTTAGATGAAGATCAGAACACATTTTATGACCAATTTATGCAGAAATCCAGGTAGTTCCAAAGGGTTCACATACTTTTTCTTGCAACTGTATATAGTTAAATTCATCTGCATTACTCGCGCATTGGTCAACAACATAATCTGCACTATTTTATTCTTCTCTGTTTCTTCTTTTTAAATGTGTCTTATTGTTTTATGTCTCATGTTGCATGCTTGGAGGAGCTTGGGACTTAAAGATTATCATTTCAGAATACACTGTAGCTACTGTGCATATGAAAATACATTTTTGAATGTTGATTTAATTGAATCTATCTCACGTGGATTTGAAACCGTCACAAAATGGTGTACTGAACCTCAGATCAGATGAGACCTTATATCAGCTCCAGGGCCACTGAAAACATTTCTACAATGTTTTAACAGCCATCAGGACAGGATTTTGATAGTATGATATTCTTTGTCATCTCGCATAATCTTATGGGTCACAGACCTTCCCTGAGCAGAACCATGTCTGAATGGTGTGACAGACAACAATCATCAGGGCGGGACTTCTGTTGGTTTGGGATTATTTGAATAGAAGCAAATGTTGTCGTACCATGAGTCAAAGAATACTCTGATATAATAGATAAGTGTGTGTTTGTGCTTATGTGCAGACTTGGGGAGTATTACATTACATTTAATGGGATTTGTAATCAGAATACCCCAAAAAAGGAAACTGTATTCCCTTACATTCCTAAAACATGGGGGATTACTAGCAGGATTACAATGTTACTAAAAAACGGCCTTGTTGTAAAGGATCAGATGTTATCTCTTCTCTGTGAGCTGCTGTTCTGTAGGCTAATACGTGAATACGCCTACTACCTGAATCTGCTTTATGGTTTTCACTTTCTTTGCTTCATTTGTTCTGTTTTTAATTCAGTAGGTGAACATATGTTCACAAGTGTGTGTGAGCTTAACTGTGTGTGTTAAACTGAAACGGAGCATTTTCTCAGATTTGATTTCTGCTTTTTTAAACTGTAGTGTGTGCTCATGTGTTTCAGTGTTGGTGTATATGCTGCTGCCTGAATATGCTGAGTGAAGGGCAGCTTTTCCTATCACTGAATTATCTGAGAGGAGAGACACATATTTGATACTAAATATCTTGATTACATTGTTCTGTTCTCTTGCATATTACACTGAGATAAAAAACATCTCATTGATAATTATTTTCTCTTGTTTTTATACCACTGACAAGCTGAAACGTTGACTTTAATGAAATGTTTTATGTCAACAGATTTCACATAACTAAATTAGGTTAGTTAAAAGCAATAATATTAAGTTGAACCTAATACTTTTTATTTAAACTTAATGTTATTGCTTTCAACTAACCTAATACAGTTATGTGAAATGTGTTAAGATAACACATTTAATTAAAGTCAACGTTTCTGTTTTTTCAGTGGATTTAATTGTGGTGGATTTGTTCAAAAATAAATGGTATATTTCTGTAAACAGCAGAAATGATCCCAAATATGTGGTATTTAATTCCTGCTGTGTGTTGACTCCCCGACAGGAGACTCAGGCGAAGATGAACTGGGGCTTTCTGGAGAACGTCCTCAGCGGGGTGAACAAGTACTCCACGGTGATCGGGCGCATCTGGCTCTCCGTGGTCTTCCTCTTCAGGATCCTGGTGTACGTGGCGGCGGCCGAGCAGGTGTGGAAGGACGAGCAGAGTGACTTTGTGTGCAACACCCGGCAGCCCGGCTGTGAGAACGCCTGCTTCGACCACTTCTTCCCCATCTCACAGGTGCGCCTCTGGGCCCTGCAGCTCATCATGGTGTCCACCCCCTCCCTACTGGTGGCGCTGCACGTGGCCTACAGGGAGCACCGCGAGGCCAAATACAAGAAGAAGCTGTACAAGAACAAAGGGAGCCTAGATGGAGGCCTGTTCTTAACCTACATCCTCAGCCTGGTCTTCAAGATAACCTTCGAGGTGGTATCCCTGCTGGCTTTCTACTTCCTGTACAACGGCTTCGAGGTGCCCATGCTCCTGCGCTGCAGCGAGAGTCCCTGCCCCAACACGGAGGACTGCTACATCGGCAGAGCCACGGAGAAGAAGATCTTTCTCTACATCATGGGCTGCACCTCCATTCTGTGCATCTGTCTGAATTTTGCAGAACTCATGTACATTATTTGGAAGCATCTGTGGAAGTGTTTCACCAGGCGCTACGCCCCAGTGCAGAGGACCGTCAGCCATCCAGCTGTTTCCATTGTCAACCAGTTTGCCTCCGCTGATCCCACAATAAACACAGAGCAGGGCCATGAGCCTGCAGCCGAGGAGGAGAACCGGCCCGTCCAGTCCTGAGGCTGAGAGACACTCACACACACACACGGACACACACGCGCGCCCGCACACACTGCTACAATCTGCTCTGTCAAAGACAGTGAAATAACCCGGCTTGAGGAGTAACGGATAACATGTAAACGGATTACGTAGTCAGGATAGAAAAAAAAAGGAAACAAGGTTGGAAGCAACTAAGTTTTAATATACAGTTGCAAGAAAAAGTATGTGAACCCTTTGGAACTACCTGGATTTCTGCATAAATTGGTCATAAAATGTGTTCTGATCTTCATCTAAGTCACAACAATAGACAAACACAGTCTGCTTAAGCTAAAACCACCCAAACAATTATATGTTTTTATGTTTTTATTGAACACACAATGTAAACATTCACAGTGCAAGGTGGAAAAAGTATGTGAACCCTTGGATTTAATAACTGGTTGACCCTCCTTTGGCAGCAATAACCTCGACCAAACGTTTCCTATAGTTGCATATCAGGGGCCGTATTCACAAAGCATTTTATCTTACCGCTAGGAGTGCTCCTAACTCGCGCTAAAACATTTTACGTAGGAGTTTTTTCTTAAAAGTTATTCACAAAGCCGCTGAGACCTACTCATACTAAGGATAAATCACTAAGAGTGACGCGCCGTTGCTATGGATTACGTCGATTCTCGTGCATGAGTTTAGAAGCGGTCAGTACGGTGATTCGTTGTTCAGAGCAGGCGGTCTCGGTGAAACTCATCCGCAACATCCCACAAACGAGCCCACTAGAACAAGGAAATAGCCTAGGCTAGAAATGTATTCCTATCAAATAGTTATGGACAGTGCAGTTAGCAGAATACACGCATGATGACAAGTTTGTGCAGACCACGATAATGACGTTGTATATGCACGTTAAAGAGAGAGAGCAAACAATAAAAATACGTAAATTGCATTAAATCAAGGAGGCAATTAAAAGCACCCCGCAATCTATTATCCAATGAGCATATTTCCAGCACTTAAACACTTTCAATAACAGCCCATCCCGCCGTTAAAGCCCCCCTATCATGATGAATGAAAACAATCTGCGTGTTGATGGAATGTACTTTCTTTCTATTGACGAACACGTCCTCATCTTTTGAGGGCGCAATTATTTTTATGTGCGTCCCGTCAATAGCACCGACCACACCGGGCATACCTGCAATTGCCATGAAGTTGGCTTTGATCCTGTGTAGTTGTTGATTGTCCAAAGGAAACCGGATTAACTGTTGGATGATATGTGGTCTAGAGAGCGCGTTGATGGTTTGGTTTATGGCACGGCTGACTGATGGTTGCGATATTCCTAAATCGTCGGCATTGCAAAGTTGCATTGTCCCTGTT